CTAAACCCCAACTGTTTTGTATGGAGATTTTTAATTTTGCTCCATATTACGTACAGTGTTTGTTACCTTTAATTGAGCCACACGACTTTTAAAGCCCAGTTTTAATATGATTTCAAAAGGGAAAACCTTATGCAGAATCGGCTGCGACCTTCTTGCGACCTTAAGTTTCTTTCTAAATTAATTTTTAATGGTCTCATTTCCGACGACTTTTACAGCAACATTACAATGCGAAAAAAATTAAGTTGGAATATACTTACGGTGACGATTCGTACCGATTTTGGCGGGACAGTAACGATTTAAAAAAAATTTTCTCTCTGCATATTTTTTAAAAGTCGGGACGTATCAGAGTCCCGGTTTTTTATATTTGTACCGATTAAATCCCGAGTTTAAGTGTTTTCTTTATTAATTTAATAAGTGTCTCCCTTTATTCTGGCGCAAAAAGAACTTTTCGTACAAGCGTGGCAGCACTTTCGCTATCACAAAGGACATAGAATATAAAGAAGCCATAAACATAGCCAGCATCCTTATTTTCTATGATCTTTGGTTATGTTTTATGCTGTAAAACTGGTACTTTTGCTATATTGCAGTGTATCATTTTTGTCTAGATTTTGTTAATTTTTTCCTTGAATAAAAGATTCTAACTTTAATTAAGTGTAATTATAAAAACTAACTGATACTATTTCCCTCAAAAAAATGATGGATATGAAAAATATAAGTTGTAGATGCAGTGGCGGCAATATAAATTGGGAAGAGACATTTGAGCAATCTTTGTCTATTTTTTATGAAATTGTAGCTCGTTATTTAACAAAAACCATGTTAGTAAATTTCAAACTTTGTACAAAAATTTGCAAAATTCGACAAAGTTTTATCGAAACTTTAAACTTTTTATTTTGATTTTTTAAAAAAGACATGAGTACCGTTGATTTTTCGTAAATTTTTTGTTTTGAGGAAGATGTTGCTTATTTTCTGCATACATAAAAATTGTTGAACATTAGGGGTATTCACGATCCGGTGCATACTGTCTAGCATGGTGCATAGATAGCATAAATAGCATGATTGTTGTTGTTTCATGTGTTCAAACAACAACAAAATTAGCCAATCATGCTATGTATACTATCTATACACCATGCTAGACAGTATGCACCGGATCGTGAATACCCCTATTATTTGTATGGAAGAAAATGGGTGAATAAAAAATTGCCAAAAATAAACGGTAAGTCCAAGCTACTTCAAACTTGCACTTTATTACACAAAAATTTAATGTGCTACAAAACTGCATACTGCAAAGAGTTCTAGAAAATCTGATTAAAATTTTGATCAACATTTGTTAAAATTCGTCGAATTTTTATAAATAGGGACGGTAATCATTATAAGTAAAATAATTTAAATCAGCATTTAATCATTATTTTATGATTTTTATATTTTTCGCGTAAAAATAATAATTATTATTTGATTTTTATTTTCTCGATTACAAACAATGGTTATTTTATGATTTTTATTTTTTCATTCAGATATAATCATTATTTTTAAGTTTTTCATTATTTTATGATTTTTATATTTTTCGCTTAAAAATAATAATTATTATTATTTGATTTTTATTTGTTCGACTACAAGTAATGATTATTTTATGATTTTTATTTTTTCGCTCAGAGATAATCATTATTTTTGAGTTTTATTTCTCAATTTAAAAATAATGCTTATTTATAAAATTGAAAAGACCATACAGACGCAAAATACTGCAATTTTGACCTGAAAAGTTTAGTACTTATTCCTTTTATTAGGGTGTCGCTGCCTCGGAAAAAGATACGTCGGAAATCACGTTGGTATAGTTTTTGAGTTTTTTGAATGATCTTTACTCTTAAGTGAAAAAATAAAACTCAATAATAATTGTTATCTTTGAGCGAAAAAATAAAATTCGTAAAATAATCATTATTTGTGATCGAAAAAATAAAAATCAAGTAAAAATAATTTCTTTTGAGCGAAGAAAAATTCAAATATTAATTATTATTTTTAATCTTTATTGATGAAACTCGAAAAATAAAAATAATTTTAAATTCCAGAAGGACGTACGAAAACAAATGCGTGAGTATAATTAAAATTGTTTTACGACGATTACAACTTGTTGATTTCTTTTTGGCTAAAATTTAAAGAATATTGATTATTTTCCGTCCCTGTTTATAAATGTTCTACAAAGTTTGAAATTTTGATTTACATGTTTTTTTAGATAGTAAGTTATTTTTGTTTGTTTCATATAAAACTGTATTAAAAGACTTTATATCTTTTTATTATAAAACCAAAATTGTTTGTTCGGACTCGATGCTTTAAAAATGTTCCGATTTTTGGCCGCAGAAATCTGTTCACCCTAAATATACTAAGACATATCTCTGCGCTTTTGTAAAAAAAAAATAACGCAATTAGTGTATTGACTCATTTTGTAAAGTGAGTTTTTTTTTATCGTATGTAGGTTTCAACTTAACTCTCAGTTTTGTTTTACTGAAAATCGTGAGTTAACTGCCGAAAAAACGGCTCTAATAGAACCAGAACGGGAGTAAAAAATTGAGCTGATTTTAAGACAAGCGGAGTAGAGGAGTAAAGTCTGCACGCTGCTCTCCACGCATGGGAACGTAATTCGATATGCAAAAGAATGTTGCAAGTGCAACAGTTGCAACACATGCAACATACTTAAAAGTACTTGAGTGGTTTACCGATCGGTGTGAAAAGACCCCAACACGCACATACACACAAGTACGCAGCTACATTTTCCAGAGAAGTGAATATTTTTGCCTTAATTTTTTTTCTTTTGCATATCCAATTACAAATAAAACAGAATCAAGTGTTGTCGAAAAAATCACACTGAAGATGCGTTTGCGCATTCAAAGTTGCGTTGTGATTTGCATCTTCCGGGTGTTTGAATGATTGCATGAGTATTTTTCTATGGGCTTACAGTATGCGTGTAAATATGTTTATTTTACTCTTAAATGGCGCTTCAGCTTTCCAAATGCGCTAAATAGCATTTGCTGCAAATGTTTTGCGTGTTGTCATTGCAAAAGTTGCAACAAATTTGCTAGACAGCAGTGCACTTAGGACAAGTGTTATTGGTAAATGGTAAACATTCAGTTTTTCGTTTTTGACAGCGCTGATCATTTGCAGCTTGTAAAGTGGGTATTAGTTGTCAATGCACAATGGCTACATTTTGTCTTGACAACTTCGCGGCGCTTTACGCGGGCTGCCTTGCGACGATATCTTCTCTGCGCTGACTGTTTTCCAACTTCCCTCTTTTCTTTTTTCTTTGCCGCTTTAGAATTTATATGCTTTATAGCAGCTATTTCACATTTTCCTGAGAATTCTTCTGTGTGCTGCTCTGCATTTTATTTCAATCGTAATTTTTTTATGAACTACTTGGAATCCGTTTTGGCTAATTTTGCTTGGTCAAAACAAAAAAAAAACAACATTCAACAGGCATCAAAGACGATGTCCAAAAAATTTTAAACTAATTTCGAGGAAACTATTAGTGAGCCTCTAACCTTCAATTTCCGCTCGGTTACATATGTATTTGCCCACTTTGAGAGTCCTTTGTAAGTGTCTTTTTAACTATATGCTGTCCAAGATAAATTCGAAGAGGTCCACTAGTTCTACTTGCGTTATTTCTGTGAGACCCGTGAAAAACTTTGCGCAGCCTTTACTGTATAGCTGGTTTGCCACAGAATTCTTTCACTTCAAAAATTCGTCAATATTTTCCTTGCAAAACTTCGGCCTTCTAATTATCGATGGCCGCCGAGCCAGAAAATGGTGACTTTGACATGAACCAGCGACGCTAGCGACAAGCGACACTTCCAATCAATTCTGGAGTTTGTTATTTTGGATCCTTACGCTTTCAGTGTTGCTTGGCTGCCAAAAAAGACAATGAATCGTCTTTCCGTAATAGAGTCTTATGGCTCTATATTAGAAAAGCTGTCTTTTCGCCATGAATAAAGATCTGCGCCTACTCCTTTTTCATCTCTGCACCATCGGTGTAAATGGTAGTAAAAATCAGTAGCCTAAATTCCAAATCTTCTCTAGTTGGAAATCGTATAGGGACCTTGAAAATAAAGGCACAAAAGATCTAAGGAGTTCATTTTCTGCTGCAAAATCAGATTCAGCGCTTCTACTGAGTGCTTCTGTTTTTACGCTGTTGAAACCGCTGTCAAGTTATTTTCAAAAGATACTGATCATTCATTGGTCTACGCCGAAGCTTTCTGTAGAACTAATATGAACGTTTGTAAAAGCTCTCTCTCTGCTTTTCCCTGGTATAAATCCACATAACATGCTTTGATTTTAGACATCAATTTCTGCTAAAGTAATTTTGTGAGACGGTTATAGGAGCTGGCTTGCCCGCAGTCAAAGCGCTTTTAAGCTTTCTATAAATTTTGTATAGGCGCGTGCAGAGTAAAAGCTCTCTCTGCCCATCGCTGTTTTAAGAATTTGAAATCAGGTATGCTTTCTTACTCACTTCAGCGTTAATCATCCAGTAAAAAGTGGCATTATATACGATCCTTAGGTATTTTACATCCAAAAGGAGAGATAGGAAGAAGTGTATATGCAAAAACTTTTAATTTTCGAGGTACCTAAAGGCAACTTTGACTTCGGTGTTCGTAGAGGAAAAGGCTCCCAATATAGCCACCAGCATATTAACTGCATATGCAACCACCTTTAGTACTATTTTTTTGAGTTCCAATGCAGGACTTGCCCTGACAAGTACTTAACTTTACTTATCCGCATATCGTGCTGTGATGAGTATCAATTAATCGGAGAAGAGCTGCCTAGTAATTATTAAAAACTTTGCATTCTTACATTGAAATCCTAGAATAAATGATCTGGGCTATCAGATGATTCTCAAACCATTACAAATTGAAACAATCTGGAATTTCCTGAACTTTTTCTAATTACTAAATATTTATTTAACTCCAATATTTTTAGTTACATTCTAATTAAAATATATATATTTTCCCTTTATTTTTCAGGCCCACTATCGAGTAAAGATTTCACCATCGATGGCCTAAATGGTTTTGGTGGTAAGAAAAAGAAGAAGAAACGTCGTCATAGTCGCACAATTTTCACATCATATCAATTGGAAAAACTCGAAGAGGCCTTCAAAGAAGCACACTATCCAGATGTGTATGCACGCGAAATGCTCTCGTTAAAAACCGAGTTACCTGAGGATCGGATACAGGTGAGTGAAATAGAAATTTTCTAACGCGAATTATTTTTGTGTACAAGCAGTTACGATGCAATTTTTTCAAGAACCTATTTAATTGCATGTTTTTGAATCTGATTCGGTAGTTACTTGCTTTGAAGATAAGCCTTTCAATTACAGGGCAATTCTGGCAACTGTCTTTCAACTCACCACAAGACAATTGTCTATTCTGGCAACTATCTTGAAAGCCCTTTACCGTCTTTCGAAAGACTAATTGAAATAGCTGCCAACGTAGAGGTATTAGCGTTATGCTATTGAACTTTTAGCAATAAGTTTTTAAAAATTAAAATAATTTAAAATATATATTTATTTGCTTTCTTTTCAAAAAACAATAAAAACTAATAAATAAAAGAAAGTTAAAAAAATAAGATGAAAATAAAACAAAAAAATAAATAAAAATATTTGTATGTATGTATTTATATTTTTTTTTTTTTTAAACAATAAAATCCAAAATTGAATTGAAAAATAAAATAAATCAAAAAAGTGGAAAATGATACTTAAAAGTAAAAAAAAAAATATTAAATATTTAAATATTTCTATAACAAAATCTAAAAATGGAAAGAAAATTAAATTATAAAAAAACAAAAAATAAAATAAGATCTTAAAAATTAATTGAAAGAAAAACATATTTTTCTTTAAAAAAAATTTAAAAATTAAAAGAATGTGAAATTAACAACAGAAAAACAAATTAAATTAAAAAAGGAAAAGTTAAATAAAATTAAAAGAAAAATTATTTTTTGAACAACAAAATCTGAAAATTAAAAGCAAATAAAGCTAAAAAAATAAAAAAGATAAAATAAGTTACTTAAAATTAAATGAAATTAAAACACATATTCTTTTTTTTAAATAACATCTAAAAATCTAAACAAAATAAAATTAAGAAAAATAAATAAATTAAAGGAAAGTTTTTTTCTAAAACTTATGTGCTAGATTAACAAAAGTCTTTCGAACCAAGTATCTCTTTCATTTGTCTTGCGAAAGACTTTTTAAATTCACGTGTACTAATTTTACAATTCAGGCCTTTCTTTCTTCGATTCGCTGGGTATTTAACAATGCATTGAGGCCACTACCAGTTGCAACTAAGCATAATTTTTGAACGTTTTTCGTCAGGCTGTTCTATTCTATATTCTAGGCAAGAGTATCTCAAAGTGAAGCATTCATTTTTTTTATTTCTTCAAACAAAAAGACAAAACAATCAAGTAATTTGATACTTTTCTTTGAATACAGGCTTTAACTAATTTACTTTGCAGACAATAAACTTCCACGCGCAACGCCAAATTACATACAAACAAACATTGCTTATTTGAATATAGGTTTTTATAGTGAATTCTTATATGAATGTACACTCATAAGCACAAAAATTACGAGCATAGGCTTTTAAATCAGGCTTCTAAAAACCTACATAGAATTGCTTGCAGCTATGAACTAAATCCTTTTCGATTGCCTCATCCCATTGTCTACGCTCCGGCTTCATTCGCACTCCACATACACATGTATAGTATGTATGTATTTGCAAAAAAAACAAAAATACAAATTTTTTCACACATCCCTTCTGAGCTTAAAAGCATTGTTTTATTTATACCTCAAATTATTTTTTGTCTCGGTTTTTTTTGCTCGTCCTTCTTTCTGTCAACAATCGCTTGAGCTCATTTTGAAATTTTGCTTGTTTGGATTTTTCTGCGCTGATCTTTCACACCTCTTCCACATCCTGTTGCCATTGCAAAAGTGCATTTGTACACATACACGTGTATGTGTAGGTATATTTATATAAAAAAACGCCTTTATATTTATTTCATAATTTGTTCGCATTTTTTCAACTGCCCCTTGACTGCATTCTCATTTACACTCCCCAATTTAGTTGAATATTTGCATTTGTTGTGATATTACGTTCCTGCATTGGTTCTCTCGGTTGGCTCAATAAAAGTGTGTGGCCCTGTGAAATTTTTGTTGATAAAAATTCGATTTTAAAAGCCTGTAGTGATTTCGATATGTGAAAAATCGCGTTAGATAATTGCATAGATTTGGCGGATTTGTGTTATTGCCTTATCGAAAATTTCGAAACCTTAATCGAGAGTTCAATACAGTGGCACACATTACCTTCTCTCTCCATTCTCAATGGATTTTTTACTCACAACAAATTCTAACACATATTGTTCGTCAAGCTATCGGCAGTTTATATTGTAAGCAGCAATTTGTTTTCGTTGTTGTAATATTTAAATCATGGTACTGTAAATATTTTACTAAAAACCGGTACATATTCGTTTAAACGCATCTGAACAAGGAAGTCAAAAGCATTTTAGTGATTAAAAAATTAAATCGTTTTTTGCATTAAATTGACCATTGCGCTACGGTCTGGGAACTGCTATTGATTGGCCAAAATTCATTTTTTAAAGTATCGATAAGTCGATTTTTTCACCCCATTACTAAACTAATTACCCAGAGCAAAAAAGTGCATACTCAGTTGTTTCTTAAATTGTTTTCCCGTTAGGATATCAGCTAATAAAGTTGACATATCTACAAAAAGTTTACATAATTTTTCCTTCGTAGTCAGAGTTCTTGTAGTTCGAATTGAAATATTTCTTCGAGTAATAAAGTTAATAAAAAAAAAAACGAATGGAAATTAAAAACAAAGATAATATTTGTGTGATGAACAAAAAAAATCTTGAACATAGCTTGCTAGGTAAAAATGAAACTACTTTTCAAAATGAACTATAATTCTCAATTTAAGTGGAGCTATAAAAAATTGACTTCATTTGGCGGTCTTCAAACTTCGTAGGCATTGAAAACGTTCAATTTAGAGTTTGTGGGCATCATGTTGCACTTTTTTGCATTTTTTGTAAAATGTGTTTTTTTCTTAGAAAACTTCTACGTATGTTTTGCTGTGCTTTTCGATGTTTGGAAAGAAGCAGTCAACAAAGATGCAAAAGAGGCCGCCGTTTTAAACTTTATTTTGGGAAATATTATTAAAGGGAATACATCCGAAGAATATAACACCTACATAAAGGAAAAATGAAGAATGGTATGCAAGAAAATATGTGAAAAATGGGAGAAATGGCATCGACAGCGCGAATATTTTTAATTCAAAATGCGAATCGGCTTGAATCAAAATCAATAATAAGAAAACTTAATTCCGCCAATGGGCCGCAAACCTCTTATATTCAAAAGTCGGACCGGTCCCAAAGAAGACAAACTGTGGAGTTAGCATGAAATCAGGAAAATAACGTAGGATTAAGGATTAAGCGTCGTGCTACTTCCACAGCTGCTAAAAAAGAGGCCAAGTGGATTTATCTGTAACTTTGAGAACAGTTTATGAAAATCCCTCGAAAGAAACTAAGAAAAAGTCCTTAAAAATGGATCCAATGAAATGGTGAAAATGAAAAAAATTATACAATTTGGGCACCTTATTGGATGCGCCATTTTGAATATCAAAAATCTTACATCGGATTCGAAATCAGTGATCTCGAAAATCCCTCATTTATATGAGAATTTGTTCGCCATATTGGCTCCGCCATTTTGAATATCAAAGATCTTACATCTGATTCGAAATCAGCGATCCCGAAAACCCCCTTCGTATATTAGCTTTTGGTGGAAAGGAAAAAATTATAAAATTCGGTCGCCATATTAGATCCGTCATTATGAATTTAAAAATCGGAATCATATTCAAAATCAGCGACCTGAAAAACTCCCGAATACGAAGTTTCAAACCAATTTGGTTACTTCTCGACTTTTGGCCAGCAAATGATAGTCGCCAGACCATAGTGCATTGGTAAGTTGTTGATAATTCAAGTGCAAAACTATTTTTTAATGATATGCTTTCTACGAATTTGTTAAAACGCCAAAAGTGAACTCCATTAATAACACTAATAAAATGCAAAAAAAAAATTTTAAATACAAGTTTTTATTTAACACTAGCCAATGCCCGCTTACTTCGCGGCGCCTAATAAGAGCTTTTGCGTTAGCCAATGCAAAAGAGCGTTTAAAAACAAAATAAGTCTGTAAAGTCAAAGTTTTTGATTTAAGTTGAAACCACTAAGGCGCAGTATCCTCCTCACACATAGGCAAATAGTAGTAACGCTGTGATACCATATGGAATACCAATCCCTTTTGGTGTCATGAGCTTTACTGATGGTCTTATTTTCACCTGTGAGATCTCTGCCAATCATGCGTAATCTTTTTGTATGATCTTACGTATGCCAATAAAAGTTCTTATAGGGAAACTCAAGAGCACAGAAGTGCATTTTCTTTATAGGAAGGCCAAGAATCCTCGCTGTCCCATAGGATGAAAAGTTTTCCGGTACATAGCTAAATGAGTAGTGTGATCTCTTAAGTATCTTTCAAATGAAGCAGTTGATATACCTACGGTGATCTTTCCTTGTTAATTCACCACTTTTACAATTCGTGGTAAAATTTATGAACTGATTTCAGGGTAGATGCAAGACCGCATGATCGTGCATGAGGGCGTCAGAAAAACTTAACCCCATGCTTCATTTAAACATTTGAAAACTAAATTCGTATAACTTAAACATAGGTCCAAAGCAGACCAACCACACAGGGTTTCTATACATTTCGGCTGCAGCGCCATCCATTGGGCTTATTTTCTGCAAAACCATTGCTTACCATAAAATGAATACGTGTTATGAATTTCTACCTTAACTCCAGCGGCACTAATCGGGTAAATTTTTATCAAAAGAATTTTCTATCATACAGGTACATAGCTCACATTTAAAATTTGAACGAAATCGGTTAATAAATACGATTTTTATAAATAACTCTACTCCAGCACCACCTAGCGAGTTTTATAGTAGCATGTAATTGGACCATATATGTATGTAAGATAACCTCCGACAATCTGACGGACCTCTATTCAGTGTTTTTTGAGTTTATTCCGAACAACGAAAACGGCTATCATTTTATGCAAATAGGTATGTAGATAGGACAGTTTATAGCGAAACTCGTAAAAGCAAAGCTCCATTCTT